TATATATGTGTTTTGTGCTTGCATCAATGGGGGAATCTCTGGTTGCAAACTACAGAAATTAACTTCATCTAACTTAAGTGCTCCCTGCCACCCCCCACCCCATTATGGGAAGGATATTGGGCAATTGACGGAATCAAAGGAAAACAGAACCGTCTGCCCTTGGGAGGGATAAAAACTAGGACAACTCTGGGAGTCTTTATAGAATCATTTATGAACAGTCTCTTGGTATGACCACTGGCATGACTCAGGCCACTGCTCAAGATTCGGATGCCTGGCGGACAGGCAGAGGGTCTGGTTGGTCCAGCTAGTTTAGTCATTGGCCAATGCTTGTGATGGATAGTCCACTGGGATCCAGAATGATTCTGGTGGGATATAGACTGAGAGACAATTCAACTCATTGCTAGAGTAATTTGATACATTTTATACTTGCTGGTGAAGAGCAACATAATTTTTCAGGCAGAAAAAGAAACTGTGTATGTCCAAAGAGAAGGCTAAGAGGCAGGGGATTATTTAAAAGACAAGGGACGCTGAGAAGCAACAGAGAAATCACAGTTCTTAGAGCGATGCCCTAGAGGAACACCACTTCAGGCTTCAACGGCAAAAGTCAAAGTATTCAGTGTATTATACTCACATTAACCGTCCTCGCTTCTGTTCGGAGCTCTGTTCATTGCAATGCATTTTATGGTTTGATCAGTCAGACAGATTACTCCTCCTGAATAAACAAATATGAATATGAATTTTTATAAGCAGAGGTTAGAAGTAGTACAATTTATAGGTATAGTTAAAGTAAACTTCGTTTATAAATTCCAAGTGAAGTTATCATAAGTAAATTTGAATACTACTTCAAGATTATTTTTATTCACATTAAATTTTAGGACCTACTGACTTTTTTATGATAGCATGTGGTATTGGGGATTAAATGTTGTATTATTCCAGTACTTTAAAATCCTTTTAAAAGTTCTCCTTCCTTAAGTGCTATAATATTGACTTGTCAATGCTGACTTCAGAGTAGTTGCAGAGTAATCGATACTGGCTCAATTACAACTTGGCAAAGCCTGGGGAGTAAACTAATAAGAACTGCTGGTCCAGAAAAACTAGCAGGAAAAAGATCTCTTTCAAAAGATAGCAAATGCTAGATATGTTAAATTCTAATGAAACAACATAAAATTTCTTCCAAACAACCCTCAAAGTTTTCTGCACAAATTATTAT